CATGGGCAGGTCGTTCACTTCGAATTGCAGCAACGTTCAGTACGACTATGTTCACTCCCACGTTTGTTCGGTCAGAATTGTTCATTTTAGGTTTGTTCAAATCAATTCTGTTCAATCGCCAAACGCACAAAGTTCGATTGGTCCGCACGAGTGTTCCATCACCATTGCCGAACACTGTATTTGGAGTGTGTTCACTCGTCGCTTTGTATAAGTGAAGTCTCTTGTTTCCCTATTATCACTTTCATCATCAACCCATTACTCGTATCTTCGTGGAACGATCTCCGATCACAACATTCTCAGTATGGGAGACATGACAAACAACACAAGGTAATGCATTCAAGTAAGTAGCCATGCGATTGGGGCATGACACAGGCCAGTATGGTGGCGGCTGTGGCGTTCGCGGATGTAAGACCTTGGTAGGGTTAGCCAGGCAAGGTTGTTGTAGAAAAGTGTTTTTAATTCACTTTGCAGACTGAACTGCAATTCCAAATGCATGCAGACAAAACAAAGGAATCAATTCCTATGTTTTGCAACGCCGAGTCTTCTTAGCAAAGAGCGACCCAGCCAGGACCGCAGAGACTGCGGGTCCTGACAGCGGAGGCTATGGCGGCTAAGTACAACTTGGCGGCGGAGGAGCTCGAGAGACGTCATCGTGAGCACCTTTGTTTCCGCTGTGGCTCTGGAACCCATCTCAGGAAGACATGCGGTCAGGCCCCGGCGGTGGCGGCAGTTCAAGGTGAGGCCGCGCAGGGAAAAGCCCAGCCCGACTCCCCCTGAACGCGGTAGGAGTCGGGCGATACGAAGCGTTGACACAGCAGGTGCAAGTCGCGTGCGCGGGTTCTTCTGATACCGCGATGCAGGTGCAAGCTCTTATTGACACTGGATCGGTCGCCACATTTGTGAGCCGTGCTGTAGCAAATACACTTCGTGCCCCCTCATTTCCAGTTCCAATGATCAAGTTGAGGACAGTGACGAAAGAGGAGATGAAGGTGCGCGAAGGCGTGGCGCTGCGAGTTACTTTGGCGGGCCGGCAGTTGTGGGTCCAAGCGATGATCCTGGATGGGTGGTGCCGCTCCTGTTGGGCATGGATGTGCTGGCGGCGGCAAATCCTGTCATCGATCTGGCGACTCGGACGGTGCGGTTCGAGAGCATGAAGCCGGTTCGTGTCAGGGGCAAGCGCAGTCTGGGCTCGGGCGTCATTGGCGTGGTGCAGCAGGACGAGGCTGCGCCCGCGGTGGTTGCGAAGGCGGCGCAGGCGCGGGACCGGGCTGAGTCAGCGGTGGCGCAAGTGGCGCGGGACGAGGCTAAGCCGGCGGTGGCGCGAGAGACGGAGGCTCAGGACGAGACTAAGCCGGCGGTGGCGCGAGAGACGGAGGCTCAGGACGAGACTGGGTCGGCGGCAGAAGCCAAGCCGGCGCAGGGCGAGGCCCAGCCAGCGGCAGCGACAGGGGCCGAGCCAGCGGCGGCGACAGAGGCCAAGCCGGCGGCAGCAGCGGAGGAGGCGAAGCCAGTGGTGACAGGGACCAAGCCAGCGCCGGTGACGATCCAGCGGGAAGCGTCGGAGGCGAGGTTGCCGTCGTCAGTGGTGGCGTTCCGGCGACGTCGGAAGCGACAGAAACGGCGTATGTTTGTGCGCTTGGTCGCGGCGGCCGATGCACTGGAGGTGGTTCTGCCCGAGGCGTACGCAGAGTTCGCGGATCGTTTTGAGCCGA